CATCAAAATAAGTTACGGACCAATATATCTTCTCTTTCTATCGCATGTATAGACTATAGCTGTTTGCTTCGAAATTTGTTGTTGCATGTAATCGGTGAAGCCATTCTCTTTGTCAAATACTACTATTATAATTCCATCTTGGTTGGTCACTGTGATATTCTCTTTTCACTCTCGTGATCCAATTACATTGCATTCCTCAATAATAACAAAATCTAGACATTAATTTCTTAGACAAATGTAGAATATAATAATTCTCTCTTCCATTCCCGTACAAAAAAAAAAACATTAGGCATAATCTTGGGTAATGGGTCACCAAATCAAAACTCAATACACTTACATTGAAATTTCTCCCTATAAAATGGCACTAAATGTGAGTGTTAATAAGCCACAATTCTCCAACCAGCTCTATCTTTCTTATACATCTTTCTTCAATCTTTCAACAAACAAAAAGAATGTCAACACATCTTCAAGAGCCCTTAACCCTTTACCCTAAACCGGTTTTAACCAAAGAAGAACAAGAAGCTGACGAGAGAATGGTGAGCTTGCAAGCAGAGAGTATCGTGAACACTGTGGCTTTCCCTATGGTCCTCAAAGCCGCCTTGGAGATTGGCCTCATCAACTTCATCGCTGCGGCAGGCAAGGACGTGTGGCTCTCACCGTCTGAGATAACGGTTGGTCTCCCAACCAAACCCATGAACCCGGAGGCACCGGTTTTGCTGGACCGGATGCTGCGATTACTTGTTAGCCACTCGATCTTGAAATGCCGTGTGATTGAAACAGGAGAGAATGGTCGAACCGGAAATACCGAGAGGGTCTATGCAGCCGAACCGGTTTGCAAGTATTTCTTGAAAGATAGTGACGGTTCTGGCTCTCTCGCGTCTTTGTTCTTGTTGTTCCATACCGAAGTCCATTTCAAGACTTGGTACGTATCTATTCGGAAACAAGTAAAAAAAGTAGTTGATCGTTAGTTACTTGAAACCGGTTATTAACCAACTACTTAAGCCAATTCACAAAAAAAAAATGTTCTATATAAATGTATTGTAAATGAACAAATGAAGTTTTATATTTCATAGGGATAATCTCAAAGATGTGATACTAGAGGGAAATGATGCATTCATATCTGCACAAGGCATGAAACTTTTCGAATACATTGGTTCAGACAAACAATTCGCTGTGGTGTTTCATCGGGCAATGTCGGAGTCTGCCACAATGGTCATGAAGAAGGTTCTTGAAGTTTACAAAGGATTTGAAGATGTTAACACTTTGGTTGATGTAGGAGGAGCAACTGGAACCATATTAGGTTTAATCACTTCCAAGTATCCTCATATCAAGGGTGTTAATTTTGACTTAACTCAGGTTTTAACCAATGCTCCTTTTTATCCAGGTACAAACCCATTTAATATATTTGATAAGTTTAATATCGAGGTGCTAGTTTTACTAACTAAATCTTACAACTTTTTTAATTTTTTTGTTTACAATGTATAGGAGTTGAGCATGTCTCTGGAGACATGTTTATAGAAGTTCCAAAGGGAGATGCCATCTTCATGAAAGTAAGTTTTCCATATATGAATAGAAAAATGACGTCTTTGAGGTTAATTAAATATAATACTTCCAAAATGAAATGGTTTAATTATTGACAGTGGATACTACATGATTGGACGGACGAACATTGTATGAAGATATTAAAGAATTGTTGGAAGAGTCTACCGGAGAAAGGAAAAGTGATCATTGTAGAGATGATTACACCAGTAGAACCAAAGCGTGATTTTTCTTCTAATATTGTGTTTGCCATGGACTTGTTGATGTTAACTCAATGCTCGAGTGGTAAAGAGAGATCTTTTTCACAATTCGAGAATTTAGCATTTGATTCAGGTTTCCGTCGATGTGAAATCATTTGTTTTGCATATTCCTATTTTGTTATTGAATTCCACAAATAGATCTGGAATTCACGAAAATCAAACATTGATGATTAGTTTGGTGCAAGGGAATATATATTTATGTATAATAAATTAAGCATGATGAGCTTTTTATTTTGTTAATGAATGCTATTTGCATGTAATGTAATTTCATGGTATTGGCTTTCCTTTTCAAGGTTGTGGTGATTGTTTAGAAGTGTAATAATTGTGAAAGTGAGTTTTGTAATTTGCATTACGTTTGTAACTGAGACATCTTATAACGTTTTGGGAAATATTTTTCCTTGATCTGACAAGAATTCTATAACGTTTTAAAACAATATACATGTCATTAGGTCGAAAGGTTTTAGATCAGGACCACAAGGTGAACCGGAAAGTCTCTTGTGTCATCAGCTAAAAAGGTCTTAGAACGATGTCATTGATTTTCGTTGGGATTTTTTTTGAGTTTCAGAAAATAAATAAAAATATAATCGAACCAAACTACTTTTTTGACCCAAAAAAAACTCGAACAGACCTACTGTATGGATCGATCAAGACTTTACCATTCCTATCGGTCGGGTTTGTCCAAATTTTAATACAACGGATCGATATAGTATATATATACACAATATTGTTGAGTAGTATATTTCTTGTAATGTACTATAATATCATTCCGATTGAAAAGTACCATACTATCTTAAGCTTGTTTTTCGACACACAAAAATTTGGTCAAAATAAGTTTACATACATTTACATAATCCTACAACTAATAGCAAATCCTAAACCCAAATTGGTTTCTTCACGAGAAGAAAACCAACATAGCTATGCTACAACAAACCCCTGTTCCAGTTTACTGTCTTTAACTTTTCCAGTGAAAGAAAGAATCTTAATGCATGTCACTTAAGTGTCATCTTGAAATCAGTCCTCTCTTTGTCCTCTCTACCTTTATGTCATATCTGTTTCAGATTTTCTACCAACAACAGTTAGAACAATGGCAACTTCATGGTTTTCAAGAGAGTCTCTTCTTATTTTTATTAGAGTACTAATTAAACAAAATATTGCTTTAAAAATGTTGACATTAATAATACTGTTTTTCCAACTTGTATATATCCAATTTATTAATCCCTCGTGATTTTGTATGACACTGCAGAGATACGATGTAATATTTTATTAAATTATAATTTAACAGTGCAGAGATACGATGTAATATTTTATTAAATTATAATTTACAAGTTAGTTGAAACCTCAAACCTAAATCATGCAACAATGATGTCAAAATGGCAGTAAAATATATACAATTTTATAAAACCAAGTCACGATCAATCATTAGTTGGTGGTTTCTTAAAGTAATTTCATGATTCACGTGATTTGATGGCCCTGAAGGATCTTGCTATTTCACCTGAAAGATATTTTATAATCATTTTTGTTTCTCAATGCGGCTTTAGAATTTTGCTATTGTTTTCGTTTTGTAATTAAACAAAAGAGGAATATCTATTCATTCCATTAGACATTATGACCTTTTTGGTTGGAAATAGACTACATGATGAATTATAAAATATTTACAATACATATGGAGATAAATTTACTGAGATTTTTATCGTGGTTGATGCACACTCCATTTAAAGGCTCCAATCACATAGCACTCCTCAATGAAAGCAAAATTTAGATATTAATTTCTTAGAAAAATATAGTAGATATATAATACCATTTCTTCCATCACCTTGAAAATAAAGTATTACGCATAATCTTGGGTAATTTGGTCACTAAATCAAAAATCGGTACACTTGGCTTGACATTTCTCCCTATAAAAATTGCACTAAATGTGAGAGTTAAAACCACACACTCTTCAACCAAACTATTCCTTTGTTATCTATCTTCTTCAATCTTTCAACTAAACAATAATAATGTCAAATCATCTTCAAAAGCCCTTAACCCACCCTAAACCGGTTTTAACCAAAGAAGAACAAGAACTCGACGAGAGAATGGTTAGCTTGCACGCGGAGAGTATTGTAAACACTGTGGCCTTTCCTATGGTTCTCAAAGCCGCATTGGAGCTTGGCGTCATCGACACGATCGATGCTGCAGGCAAAGGTGCGTGGCTCTCACCATCTCAGATAGCGGTTAGTCTTCCAACCAAACCCACCAACCCGGAGGCGCCGGTTTTACTGGACCGGATGCTGCGATTACTCGTTAGCCACTCGATCTTGAAGTACCGTGTGATTGAAACCGGAGAGAGCGCTCCAACCGGAAACACTGAGAGGGAATATGCAGCCGAACCGGTTTGCAAGTTTTTCTTGAAAGATAGTGATGATTCTGGTTCTCTCGTGTCTTTGTTCTTGTTTCTCCATACCCAAGTCATTTTCAAGACTTGGTACGTACCTCACTATTAGAAAATAAGTCAAATCAGTAGACAGTAGTTGATCGTTAATAACATGAAACATATTGTTAGCCAACTAATTAAACCAATTTACAAACAAAAAATGTTCTATAAAAAACTGTCGTAAACA